TCCCCCCACATGCAGCCACAGCCCCGCAGCTTGCCCAGGGTGCAGGCCGTGGCCACGGAGTGCATCACGCCGGCCGCCAGCAGGGAGAAGGCAAAGGCGCTTTCCCGGAAGCCTGTGGAGCACATGGCAAGGGGGTGAGCTGGCGCCCAGGCCGGACCCCTCCCAAGCAGGGACACCAGGGACCCAGCTGAAATGGACAGGGCCAGGGAGAGTGTCACTGCATGGCCCCCCCACAGCACTGCATCCCCTCCTATCCCAACCTTGCTCACTGCATCCAATCGCTCCCACTGCATGCTCCCCACAGCACTGCATCCCCTCCCACCTCCAACCCTGTACACTGCATCCAATCGCTCCCACTGCATGTGGCCTCCCAATCCCAAGAGCGCTGCATCCCCTCCCACTGCCACTCCTGCATGGCCCCCCAGCCCAACACTGCTGCATCCCCTCCCACCCCCAACCCTGTGCACTGTGTCCAATGACTCCCTCCGCACAGTGTCTCCAGCTGCTCTTGCTCCTTCCACCTTCACTGCACAGCCCCAGCCCTGTGCGCTGTGCCCAATAGCTCCCCCTGCACAGCGACCCCTGATGTTCCTGCTGCAACTTGTCCCTGGGAAAGTCCCTGGAGGCAGCAGCTGCTGCTTACCCAGCTGGGGAATGGGAGTCATCAAAGACTCCTCACTCCTGACCCACAACCCCCCCCCGGCCAGCTCTGCCACTGCCTTGCCCTCCTGCCCCCCAGCGCCCCAGCCCAGGCCCTACCCCGGGGTGCCCGTGCCCCTCACTCCCAACCCACAGGGCCCTATTAACCCTTTTCTGATTCGGCCCCTGACAAAAACCACTAACCCCACCGAGCTGCGCTGGTGTTTGAAGGCAGGTCTCCGGAGCCCACAGCCTTAGTGACCCCTGCTCCCAGCTGGGCTGCCACGCTCCATGGGCACGAAAGGGTTAAAGGTGCCAGGAACCCCTCCCCTGCGCTGCCCTGGGGGTGCTGTCTCCCCTTCATTCGGGAGAGCATGATTCGGCCCCTGACAAAAACCACTAACCCCACCGAGCTGCGCTGGTGTTTGAAGGCAGGTCTCCGGAGCCCACAGCCTTAGTGACCCCTGCTCCCAGCTGGGCTGCCACGCTCCATGGGCACGAAAGGGTTAAAGGTGCCAGGAACCCCTCCCCTGCGCTGCCCTGGGGGTGCTGTCTCCCCTTCATTCGGGAGAGCAGACC